CTGATTCGTGCGTGGATCAAATGGATTACAAATATACACTGTTACCTGATTATTTCGTTGATATAAAAAATATTAAAAACACTAAGATCTTATCGATCGGCATGCGATTACTAACTGACTGGCCAGGGCGGCCGACAGGAATCCCCGTCGCGCGGCAAGAGGGCAGAGTCGATGCGCAGCGCGTACTGTAGTGATTTCGCGTCAAGTTGAACAGAGATGTACGTCCCACATCGCACAGCACGCGCTGTGACGGGCGACGGATTTCTGCCATGTCCGGGCTGGCACACGGCAAATTGCGCGGTGAGCAGCGCGGCGAACCGGACGCTTCGCGGGCTTTTGCGTGGAATTCAACACGTCAAGCGTGTGCAGATTGCGGATAAAATCCGCAAGGTTCTGCGATTCGAATTACATTCCAACGCATGGCGATTTGAGGATCGCAGCGATGGTAAGGAAACCTCAGTAGGAGGAGATGAGACAGAGCTAGCGTAGTGTGTTATAGTGCTGTTATAGCGATGAGGGCGCTCATGTCGTCAGGTAGACGTTTCATGCGGGGGGGGGGGGTGAGTGAGCCAATTACTATGCTAGGAAGTGAGCCTTAAGGAGGGGAAGGAATCCTGAGGAGGCGATCTGTGCCTCTCTGGCGTTTCTCCCCTCTCCTGGGCTTGGTCCTGAAGTCTCCTACCATCGGCTCTGTTTTGGATGTTTCCTCCTGAGGAAATGAAGGTCGTGATCAGCAGCATATATAGTTGACACTAAATAAATCGCAGCAGAAACTGTTATTTTTAGTGTTTCTTATTCGTTAAGTCGATAGTAGTGACATTTACACGCGAATCCTCCCTCATGAAAATCCCTCTTGCGCTGAAATCTCCTCACCGACACTGCTGCTTTAATCTCCGCGCGCGGAAAGTTTTCCAAACAGCAGAATCATGCGGAGTTTATCCGCAATCTGCACACGCTTTGACGTGTTGAATTCTACTGCAGAGCCCGCGAAGCCTTGTCACGTCCGGATCGCCGCGCAACTCGCTGCGTGCCAGCTCAAATTGGCCAAAACTCACGCACCTCGCTGCGACTCGTCCGCTGACTGTACCTTCTTGCCGCGCGACGGGCCTCCTGTCAGGTACCCGACTGGCCACATGAGCTGCCACCAGAGTGAACCTTGAACAGCTGCTTTCTGTACAGCTGGATTTGTTTATTGAAGCCCACGTGAAATAGGGTGACATTCGATAATCAAAGTAAATTTCACAAGAGCTTTCAC